TGATTGTTTTAAAGCGTACCTATACAGACTTACATTCGGGGACGATCCCTTCCACACGGTCTGTACTGAACAGGTAATGGAGGACGCAGAATATTTTTTTGTTTGAGTCAATAGAAAATTGATCCCACGTTTGTCAAATGGCATGCACTATTCTCAGGAAACTACGCCAAGCTGAACAGTGCCGCATATAGCCATAGAAAGGCCGCTCTCTGTCGGAGTAGGAACGGATTAGAACCAACCGCCAAGCCAGTGTGACTTTGGACCTCGTATACGCGAAGTGTAGGAGCGGATTGTAAGCACGGCCGTTCCAACCGCCAAAGCAATGCGACTTTGAAGCTCGGTCAGCCAACGCGTAGGAGCGGATTAGAACCTCGATCGCTCCAACCGCCGAGAAATCATGCAACCGATGTGTAGACGCAGATTGGAACCTAGTCCGTTCCAACCGCCAAGGCGGTATCCCAGAAAAACTTGTCACCTCTGAATGCCTGCTCAATGCAAATACCAGCGACCGGGCCGCTAGTAACCTAGTTCATTCCGACCGTGCCAACAAAAGGAGCTACAAAGTGTTCCATAAGTTAAAGGAAAGCATTAATACACCGACATTTGTGCACAATGGAGCAGATCAACGAAAGAGCAACGATAGTCGCGCACCACGATGTAGAGAACAAAGGTCGCGGGGTTGCAAAATTTCTTCTTGTTGTGGCAGACACCGCACCAGGGGGACACACTTAGACATTCATTAGATTGTCCATTTGTCCATTGTGTTACCACATTACACAAGTTGTTTGAACGGCAACTAAGATATTCTGGGTTAAAAAACTAAGAGAAGCGCTGGGTGCTCAGAAAAAAGTTCCGCAGGCAGCTGATGTCCACTGCGGAGAGCTTTTCAGGAGTGTCGAAGAAATGAGCACCGAGGTGCTTAAATCTTAGTATTGCGAATGCCGGGCAACTGAGAAGGAAGTGCTGAGATGATTCCACCCCATCTTCCAAACAGCTGTGGCAGTAGGGATCTGTAACGGTGTTAAGTCGCACCGCGTGGGTTCCTAAAGGACAATGTCCAGTCATTACACTTGTGAGAATCGAGAGGTGGCGCTTAGCCAGCTGCAGAAGCTCCCTTGATCGCCTGCGGTCGGCAACCGGCCAGAAGGACTTTGCAACTTTGCATGTCAGAGGTTTTCGCTCAGCGATCGCTGAGCCGACTGTGAGCCCATCTGTCCAGAAGCGGGCCACAGGTTGCCAACGAAACTCCTACGCCGAGGTTATCGCCTCGAGGGTTCCCTGCCTAGCCAATTCATCAGCACTGCAATGTCCAGTTATGTCACTGTGTCCCGATACCCAAATCAGCTTGATTTGGAAGTATTCCGAGGCACTTGAGAGAGAAGTCAGGCATTCCCCGACCAGTTTCGATCGTACCATAAGCATTGATAAAGGTCGGTTCGTTACCTCTATTACAAATACCTAAGTCCTCACTTAGAATATAATCAAAAAGTGACTCACCTCTCGCGTTGATGTCTGAGCTTCCCCAGCACGATGGGCAGATCGAACCTTAAAAAATAGTAGTAACGCTCTTTATGGCCAGCAATAAGGTCCGAGGCTTTGAATTACTAAAACAGAATGGCCAAAGCCTACAATTGTCTAAGCAGGCGAAGTATTTGGGAGGGTTGGAAAATAAATATTGAAGAAAGAGAGATCAACCACGTCGGTTGGTGTTAAAATAGTACTTGGGCGTAAAAAAGTTCTCACGCCACCATTCTAAACTGACCCAACCTACAGCGTATAAAAGGAGTAACATGTCCTTCAACTTTCTTCGGTTGAAAGAATTTGTCAACACAAATATTATTCATCTTCCAATGAACTTGCTTAAAAATTTTATTGTCCACTTGGAAGGTTTAGAAAAAACCATTGCTTCATTCTGCACACTAGCGTTAAATGACTTTTCATAATCTGCCCAGGCATATTGCAATTATATTTTCTTGTTTTTGTATATAAGTATTGAAACCATTTTAAGACGTCGCTTTTGAGTATAATCGAGTATAATCAAACAATTACTATAACTGTACTCCCAGAAGAATGACATTGTATCCAATCGAAATCCTTCACCATTACCATTATCAATAACATTACCATTACCATGGTCATTACCATTAACGTTATTATTTCCATCTCCATTACCATTACTACTATCTTTATCATCATCAGTATCATTATTACGATAATTATCATTTCGATTATCATTACGACTACCATTATAATTATCATTATCAATACTACCCTAGCCATTACAATTACCATTACGATAACCATAACCATTTCCAACATCATTACTATTAAATTAACATTACCATTATAATTGTCATTACCAACGTAATTACAATTGCTATTTCCATTACCATTCCCATTAGAGTTAACATTTCCATAACCACAACCATAACCATTCCATTACCATTACATATAACATTACCATTAGTATAACCATAGCCATTAAGATTACCATTACAATTACCATTACCATTACCATTACAATTTCCATTACCATTACCATTATCATTACCACTGTCATTATGATTACCATTGTAATTACCATTATCATTGCCACTACCATTACCGTTACTATTACTATTACCATTTCAACTACCATTGCCATTTCCACTTTGCCATTTTACTATGTTTTAACAATTACCAAAAATAAAACGATCTTTATTGTTACTCCGCTAGCGACAATAGCATAGCATTGTTACTGGAAAAATTAGCACTAATGTCATAAAATAGTTTAGCAATATTTATATACGTCTTTAAGGGTATTACGTATGTTGAAAAAATGCCAACAATGAACCCCAGTTTATTTTATCACCTGTCTTATGGACGCTAAAACATGAATATATATACGTATGTATGTATGTGTGTACAATATTTACATACTAACATACATACTATGCTAACGACAAAGCGTTTGCGACAAAAGTCAAGGTGTTCTCAACACACATTTTTTTTCGTCTAAGATTATCGCTTAGTTTTGCTTTCAAAACAATTGAGAGTGGTATGCACATACATACATACATATTATGTATGTATTTATAATTGTACTTGTACACACATTCGAGTATTTACTCACCCAAATCTTAACAACGAAATCATGTCAAAAAGTCAACAAAACAGTTAAATGGAATATTTGCTGGTCAACACTTGCCGCGGCGCTTGGCGGGCAAACAAAAGCCGAAGATGTGCTAAGCGGTAGTTCGAAATGAAAGATCAAGCTTTGTAGAAACAGTACGGGGAGGAGAGATATTTGTAATTAGTACGTGACATGATTTTCACTTTCATTTGAAGAAAAAATATAGTGCATACTTACATGCAAACTTACGGGCAACTATGCATATGGACATACATATCTATATACATACATACCGCCAAAAGGCACAAAAACTATTTTCTTACTTGCGTAATATTCGAGGCCTTACCCAACTCTTATTTGCATTTTATAATCTAAACAATACTGACGCCTCAACCACTTTTCACACTTTGGCGCGATAAGAAAATCCCCCAAAAAAATATTTTTTTTTTACATTTTCTTTATTCAAGCTTCAATGGCAATTTTATTTCTCTTATCTTACTTTTTAATCTCTTCGTTGCATAAAAGTCCAACCGCACCATGTGGCACTTAGCCGCCGAAAATGTTACTAAACCAGCTGCGCAATGGCGCATAACAAGTGGGCTTGGTGATCCACAGCGAATCGACTGTCAAGCGTAGTGCATCCATTGTTGAAAAACTGCAACGATCGCGCACTGTTGCTTCCGGCGAAACGCCATTGCGATCCAGATCGTCTGGTTCATCGTTGGCGCGCAGACGTCCAAACGCCTCGTCACCATCAAAGTAGTAGTACTCTTTGCGCGTCGAATTCGTCTCTACAACCGTCATGGGTTTGTATGTACTTGCAGCGTTAGCCAACGAATCCGATGTTCTTGCGTGACGATAGAAGGGCATCGACAGTCCGAAAGGTGGGTACTGCTGAGCTAGGTCGGTATATGGCGGCGGAAAGGGAGGAGACCACAGTTGTTGCTGCTGTTGCTGCTGAGCTGCCAAGAAGGGATTAAAATTGCCGCCAGTGTGCAGAGGACGATAAGGTATCTGATCTAACGGCAGACCAGCCTGCGCTGGTTGCGTAAAATATGGCGGCTGCTGGTATAAGGGCAATTGCTGTTGGCTTAGAAAGTTTTGTGGCATAGTATTCAAGGGATTTTGGTTGCCCACTAAATTCTGGTGTTGCCCCACATTCGTATTACCCTGTGTACCGCCCGTTTGCACGCCACTTGCTGGCGACAGCGCATCCTGTGCAGGCAGCGGCGGTTTAACGAAAGCAGTCTCTTGACATTCCTCTTGATAGATTTCGAGTAGAAAACCACTCGACGGTATGCCGGAATAGCCCATGCGCATGCGTATCTGCTTTGCGCCCAAACCCCATGGGCTCGTGTAGATATATCCAGTGCGACAGCCGCAAAACCGCGCGCCGTCTATCTCGATATAGTCTTCCGTGCAAACATCTTTGGTAGTGCTAATGGCGACATTCACATTTCCCTGTATATCACCGGTACCCGCGTAAGATTGTCCAAAGTCGAAGAATTTGAATTCGATGCGCAGCCGACAGATGTTATCCGCATGTTTCTCTAGCACAAATTTGCAGTCACGCTGCTGTGCTGGCAAGAGTGAAGTGAAAGCGGTGCGTGGAAATCCCGGGCTGGAAAGATAGAAGCGTTTTTGGTGGAAGGAAGAGGTGCAGCATTGCTGCGCGGACGCTGAGGTGATGGCGGGCTCAACTGACGCACCGCCTTGTGGAGTTGGGTTTTGCGCTGTGGCGTCTAGCTGCGGCGCTCCGCCGGCAAAGGGTGCTCCAGCCAGCTGCGGACTGCTTAATTGTGCTATGGTTGAGTGAAAACTATTAAACGGCGATCCAAACAACGCACCACCACCGAATTGTTGCCGCGGCTGCGCCTCGTTCACTGATTTTGCCAACAAATCAGCTTGAGACTTATTTTCCGATTCTCGCGCTTGCTGCTGGTTGCTTTGCGCCCGCGGTGGCAAAACTGCCACATACTGATCGGCGCTTAAAGGCTGCTGCGCGTCATTGCTTCTATAGCGCACAGCTGGGTATTGTGGGTATGGTGGATATGGATTACCCAGCGCTTGTTCGGGTATACATGGCTTGTTATTGTCAAGACTTGGCGCATGCGGTCGATTTGGCAGCGGCGCGTAGAGGCCGCCAAGCGCTGGCGGTGGCGGTGGTTGCAGTACGGGAAATTGTCCAGGTAAATATCCCGGCAAACGTTCGGGTAAGTTCCAACCGAACAACGGCTGTGTTGGATAAGGTATGTGCTGCTCCGTTTGCGTCAAATTCCGAAACAGCTGCGGCATTGTGCCTTGTGGAGGTTTCAACTCTAGCGTAGGCGCCAACACTTCCTCTGTGTCCTCATCGTTGCCATCGAGCAACTCGCGCAAGTAGTCCTCGCGCTCGCAAGCCAAGCGTGTAATGAGTAACTTGAAACCCCTTGCAGCCGTCCAAGGCGAGCCGTCAGACAAGAAACGCAGTCGTAGTATGCCATCCGGTGTGTGATACTTCTTAATACCTATCACTTGTCCGCAAAGCAGATCCATATCATCGCCGTCATTCTCGAGCCCAATGGCTAGGTAATCCTGAGTGCAATTAGTCGACGATTCGAGATGAAAATCTAGAAATTGTATGTGAAACTTTGTTGGACAGCGATAAGGCGAACGGATTACGTAATCCCAACAGGTATTCGTCGGATAGTTATTCGGATAATTCGGTGATTCTAT